ATAAAAATGCAAACACACATAGTACAAAAGCTAATAAATTCTGAAGAACAAATAGATACGAAAAAGAAATTACAATCGTTTCTAGGATTAGTAAATCAAGTGAGAGAATATATACCTAATTTAGCAGAAAACTTAAAACCTTTGCATAAGAAATTAAAGAAAGATGTAGAGTATCATTTTGGCAATAAAGACCAAGAACAAATACGAAAAATAAAATTATTATGTAAAAATTTACCTAAATTATGTTTTCCAGATGAAAATAAAGGATTTACATATATAGTGGAATCAGATTCAAGTGATATAAGCTACGGAGGAGTATTAAAATATAGATATAATAAAGAAAAGGTGGAACACCATTGCAGATATTATTCAGGAACATTTACAAACCCCGAAATAAAGTGGGAAATAAATAGAAAAGAATTATATTCAATATATAAATGTTTATTAGCCTTTGAACCATACATCGTATATAACAATTTTTTTGTAAGAACAGATAATACGCAGGTAAAATGGTGGATAACAAGAAAGGTACAAGATTCAGTAAAGACCAAAGAGATACGAAGATTAGTATTAAATATATTAAATTTTACATTTACAATAGAAGTGATATGTACTAACAAGAATGTTATTGCAGATTACATCTCAAGACAAAAGCTACACAGACTGAAAAAGAAAATACTATAGAAGAAATATTCAAAGCTATGAACCTACTTTGCACAAAAGTAGAAAATATTAACAAAGAGCTACAACAAATAAAAAGTCAGCAGCATGACTATAAAAATGCGGAGCTAAGTCGATCAGAAGACTTAAAAATTCCAGAGCAACAAGGTGACGTTGGGAAACACCTAAAAACCCATAATGATTTGTTACATGCAGCTACAGGAAGCACATCTGCAGCAAAAGAAGAAAATAAAACCAGATATGTTAATACCAATATGAATAAGATGTTCGAAAAACCATTTAATGCCAAAAAATCAAAAAGATCCATTATTCATACCACCTCAGCTAAATACCTATAAAGAAAGCCTAAGACAAAACAAAAGACTTATAACCATATAACCAGAGCTTATATAGAAAACATCCATAAATACAGACTTTTCTAAACCAAAATCCAAGATCCAAAAATACAAAAAAACCCCATGAAGATTATATTACACAAAATCTGCAGGGATATAACAAGCTGATTGCACAACCAGGAACAAGTACAAATCTAGTAGGAACTTGCTACAACTACGGATTGTTAAGTACCGTATATACCCAAACAGAGTATTCTCAGAAACTGTGCCTGAGAACTTTTTTTACCCAACACAACCCTATACTCTTATTATACAACTCTATATTTGGGGCTAACAAGTAGAGTATTTCTTTAATACAACTCTACATTTGGGGTATATACGGTACTTAACAATCCGTAGTTGTAGCAAGTTCCTACTAGATTTGTACTTGTTCCTGGTTGTGCAATCAGCTTGTTATATCCCTGCAGATTTTGTGTAATATAATCTTCATGGGGTTTTTTTGTATTTTTGGATCTTGGATTTTGGTTTAGAAAAGTCTGTATTTATGGATGTTTTCTATATAAGCTCTGGTTATATGGTTATAAGTCTTTTTGTTTTGTTCTTAGGCTTTCTTTATAGGTATTTAGCTGAGGTGGTATGAATAATGGATCTTTTTGATTTTTTGGCATTAAATGGTTTTTCGAACATCTTATTCATATTGGTATTAACATATCTGGTTTTATTTTCTTCTTTTGCTGCAGATGTGCTTCCTATAGCTGCATGTAACAAATCATTATGGGTTTTTAGGTGTTTCCCAACGTCACCTTGTAGCTCTGGAATTTTTAAGTCTTCTGATCGACTTAGCTCCGCATATTTATAGTCATGCTGCTGACTTTTTATTTGTTGTAGCTCTTTGTCAATATTTTCTACTTTTGTGCAAAGTAGGTTCATAGCTTTGAGTATTTCTTCTATAGTATTTTCTTTTTCAGTCTGTGTAGCTTTGTCTTGAGACACCTAAAAGTAATTAAAATATCTAAAAATAGGTTATAAATTATGAGATATTATGCGGAGAACTTCAGGAGAATCCTGAAGGAAAAGGAGTGACATAGAAATTTATATTTAAAAGGTATTCCATTTTCTTCAATTTCACATTAGCTTTTGTATTGACTACATAAATCAATAAACTATCCAGACTTTTCCCATCGATTTTAGTCAAAGTACCCAAAATCGGTTGACCAAATCGGACGCAGCTCCCACACCCACAGCCATGTCATGTCAACACGGGTGCGGCACCAAAAGTGAAGAGTCCGAACAACTTAGAGTAACATAGCAAGTGAAAACTAGGGGAAACAAAGAGAAGAGTGGAGTTTTCCGGCGTGTAAGGCCACCGGAAAGATGGGTTCTACCCTCCTAGTAAGTAGGACAGAGTATTCTCAGAAACTGTGCCTGGAAACTTTTTTTACCCAACACAACCCTATACTCTTATTATACAACTCTACATTTGGGGCTAACAAGTAGAGTATTTCTTTAATATTTTTGCCTTGGAGGTGCCTAACTTAAAAGGCAAGCCTAACCCAATTAGTCACCACTCTCTCTCTCTCTCTCTTCTATATCTACTAACAGCAAATGAAAAAATGTTCTTGATGGCACCTTATGTATATCATGTATCCCAGACACCAAAAAACTCAAGTATCACCTTGGTACTTACCATACTCCAAAACCTGTATAACATATTAGGCCTTAAGAAGTGACGGTCACAGTCCGAATCGATTTGGATACATATTCCAATAACACATTTTCCCTATCTTTCCATCTTATTCCTCATAATTAACATATAAGAACATAACCCGAACAGAGATGTTAGCTAATTAGTGGCTCGAGAAGCTCCACATTACATTGATAACATCATAACTAATACACTTTGAGAAGCAAAGAGTATTAAGCAAAAGCCAGATTTCAGGAATGGAAGTAATCTCATTTATATGGAAACCTATCCTACTCGGATCCTCCCAAATTGTCGGATTTCATGTATGGAAGTATAATCTCATTTATATGAAAACCTATGTTACTCAGATCCTTGCTATACCCATGTCGGATCCTCCAAAAATGCTCTATTCTATAAGGATCCAACACAGGTGCAGCGACATTTTGGGATGATCTAAGCAACATAGACAGAAAGTACATGGCATGAATATCAACTTGATATAAGATGTAACATACATAAATTAGAAGAAGGAACTTACTTTCTCACATTATAGTAAGCAGGAAGAAGTGTTAGCAGGAAGATAAACCAATGCCCTGTGACAAGGAATAGGATGCAGAATGCACCATGTAAAATATACTCTTTAAGGACAACAGAGTTGATACGAGATGAAGACTCATAAGGGTTCATATAATCAGCTTCCAAATCTGTTAAGCAAACGATCTACAGAAACCAAAATAAAGAACTTCAGACAACAAGGAACAGAAATGAATTATGTGGACGAAAGAGGATAAAGTAAACAGTTGACAAGGACTTTCATCACTGCAGCAAATCAATTAACACAGCAGAAAAAAAATTGCTGCAGACCCACTAAAGTAAACAAAAACTCAAAACTTCTGGACATCAACTTAACACGATTCTATAAAGATTATTCCATAATTAGATGAACATATTAGTTTGTCAACTAATGACTCCTTGCAATAAGCAAAAAAAATTAAAAATCCACTAATCAATAGTTGTCTAATACTACTTTATTTTATACAGAACCATTAGGATTGCTCTGCAAACTCTGGAAAAAAAAAAGGTTTAAAGAAGAAATAAAGAGAAAAAGAAAAAAGACAACTCCCCAAAGAGAATAGTGAAATAAAAATCATACAAAATCACTCTCTTCCTCTACGCCACCCACCACCAACAAATGATTTGTGAAATAAACATTGAATTATATTTCCAGTAATCTTCCAAAAACATTAACAAGGAAGACCAAAAAAAAAAAACTTAATGGGGTTTACGCATAAAGGGAGAAAAGGATACCTGATAGATGAGTAATGAAATAAGGGAAATGTTAATGGCTAAAAATATAAGCCAAAGAATGGGTTCCCAAGACATTATTTTTGGTTTGATTGGATTCTCTACATGCAGATGGAGGAAGAAAAAGCAAATCCGTAAAAGAGGGTTTTGATGAATGAGGATTGTTTAGGAGGAAAAACCCAGAAATATTGTCTTCTTGGGAGGAACAAAAGAGAAAGGGAAAGTTAATGGATACTGAACAAGAACTACTCAATTAATCATACTAGTGAACTCTTTCAATAAAAATCCAATCAAATGATTAAATAAATTAATTTTACTTAGATTTAGTTTGATTCGATTTTATATTCTTTCAATCAACAATATTTTATTTATTTTATTTTTATTTTGATTTAAAAGATGAATAAAATATATTTTACAAATTTTAATTAAACTAGATAATTTATCCGCGCTTCACACGGTAATTCATGACCTCATTAAAATTATGAATGATCATTTTCTTATATCTGAATATTAGAAATTTGGTATTGTCACTTATATTAACAACTTGAAAGATTGTAAAAATTTTACTCTTTAATGAGTTTTATCTTCTACATATTTTCAATTATATATATATTCTTTGATATAATTGTTTTCTCAATATTGAATGATTTTTCATAGATTAGTCAATTATGAATTTATCTATAGTTTTGTACAATTGCATACAAAGTACTCCCTCCATTTCTATTTATATGTCATCCATTTCTATAAATAGTTGGACCATAATACTTGTTATTTCATAAAATCAATGCATAAATTATCATATTCTTCCTATTATATTCTTGATAAAGTAGTTAATTAGTCTTGAAGATATATATTTTGATCAACCTAGGAAAATTATTAAGTAGTTAATATCCATTGGAGTACTTCATACATTGATTAATTACTCTCTCCACTCACTATATATAAAATCTGATTTTGAAAATAAGCTCAAAAATTTAAATAGTCATCCAAATGCATTTTAATTTTTGAAATCTAGCATATTCATTATTTGTTGAAAAGTTGACTTAAAAAACATTAAATAAGGGTAGAAGGGTAAAATTACTTAATTTCTTAATACAAGTGCAATCTAAAAAGGTGACCTATAAAAAGGAGCGGAGGGAGTATAAGATACCCAATTTAATGAGGGCTATTATTCATTCTTTAGCCGGTAGCAACTAGTTTTCATGTTCTTCCATGTCATTCTCCATAAACACTCATAAATATGACATGAAAAATTTATCATGTAAAAGATATTTTCCCCTCGTAATCTCAAATATGTGTTCCTTGATTATTCTAGAGTTAGTAAATCATAAAAAGATCTCATTAAATTTTAAATTTTTTATTAATCATATTTTAAAAACTTAAAATATTTTGAAATACATTATTTTTTACCAAAAAAAAAAAGAACAATTAAAGTATTATGAACAATTTAAGTCACATGTTTGTTACTTTAGAGCGCACCAACTGAGCAAAAATATAGAAATTAAAAACAATTACAAGTAATTAGGAGATTAGGAAAGATTACAAGCAGGAGTAGCTATAATAGTTGAGACTTTCAAACTTTGTCTTGTATTATCCATTAACAAAGAATAAAAAATTAGTAATTGAAACATTTAAACTTTCTGAATAAAGAATGTGAAAGGTTAAGAAACAATATATGAAAAATATATACGTGATAACATTTTTTTCTGTGTGTGTGCGTGCGTGGGTGTGTACATATATACATATACATATACACTTTCCTAAAAGTATGAACTCTCTAACTTGAATGTTAAAATTATATAATACTCCCAATTAAAAAATCCAATTTATTTTATCTTTTATATTTTATATTATATTACATTTATTTATTTATATTATAAAATATATTTAAAGCATACACCTTATCACATTAAAGGTTGGACTTTTTTAAAGAGTTGTGTATTTTTCAAAGAGAGTTGTGACTTTTTCAAAAAGTTATGACTTTTTCAAAAAGTTATGACTTTTACAAAAATGTGTGATTTCTACGATGAGTTGTGATTTTTTCAAATGGTTACGACTATTCAGAATTGTTGTGACTATTTCATAGGATTGTGACTTATTCAAAGAGTTGTGACTTTTCTAAAAGGATGTGATTTTTCTAAAGAGTTGTGACTTTTTGGATGAATTGTGACCTTTCTGAAGGGTTGTGCCTTTTGTGATAAGGCAATATAAGAACATGTTCAGACTACATTTGTTGGCTATAAATAGGAGGTTCCCTCACATTTCTAAACATCGAATTTTCTATCTTTTCTATTTTTCTTCTTCTTAGAACAGTCAATTTAGTAAATATTTTATATTTATTTATATTATAAAATAAAATATGTTAAAAGAAGACACTTTTCACATTGAAGGATTGTGACTTTTTCCGGGGTTGTGGCTTTTCCAAAGAGTTGTGACTTTTTCTGAAGGGTTGTCACTTTTTCAAAGAGTTGGCTTTTCCAAAGGATAGTGACTTTTCCACAGAGTTTTGAATTTTCTGAAGGGTTGTGACTTTTCTAATAAGGCACAATATGCATTTGTTCACACTACCCTTTGTTGGCTATAAATAGAGGGGTTCTCTCTCATTGTTAAACCACAATTTTTTGAAGTTTTCTATTCTTCTTCTTCTTAATACTCAATTTAAAACTATTCTATATTTCTTACTATATTTTTAAAGCAATTTTATGGACTATTGGTCCAATTTAATGGTTATCTCAAAGAAGTTGGATAAGGACTACTACCGAAAGTCTTAGACCAAATCGTACAAAATATTTCATATTGTATTTATTTATATTATAAAATATATTAAAATCAAACACATTTTCACATTGAAGAATTGTGATTTTTTTATGGGTTGTGACTTTTTCAAAGAGTTGCATCTTTTTCGATGGGTTGTGACTTTTTCATATCGGTCAATCAAGAATGCTCAAAAAGTTTTCATAACCAAAAAATACAAAAGTAATTCAATACAAATACATAAAAGATAAAATTAACAGATCATTGAATGAAATACTGGTGTTAGTTGTCGGACAAAGTAATGACAGAAGGAAAAAGCCCACAGAAAGAAGTAGGTACGAACCAAAAAATTATTCTGGTTGTGATTAGTTGCTCAAGAATTGAGCAGTTGAACTAATTTTCTTTTGACATGTTCAATGAAGAAAAAAACTATAAAGAAATTACATGTTCATACTACATTTGTTGGCTATAAATAGGAGGTTCTCTCACATTTTTAAACATCGAATTTTCTATCTTTTCTATTCTTCTCCTTCTTCTTAGAACACTCAATTTAGTACATATTTTATATTTATTTATATTATAATATAGAATATGTTAAAAGAAGACACTTTTCACATCGAAGGAATGTGACTAGTTCAAGGGGTTGTGATTTTTTCAAAGAGTTGTGACTTTTTCTGAAAGGTTGTCACTTTTCCAAAGAGTTGGCTTTTCCAAAGGATAGTGACTTTTCCAAAGAGTTGTGACTTTTCTGAAGGGTTATGACTTTTCTATTAAGGCACAATAATCACTTGTTCACACTACTCTTTGTTGGCTATACATAGAAGGGTTCTCTCTCATTTTATCACAAATTTTCTAAGTTTTCTATTCTTCTTCTTCTTAACACTCAATTTAGTACATATTCTATATTTCCTACTATATTTTTTAAGCAATATTATGACCATTGGTCCAATTTATTGGTTATCTCAAAGAAGTTGGATATGGACTACTATCGAAAGTCTTAGACCAAATCATACAAAATATTTCATATTATATTTATTTATATTAAAAGCAGACACATCTTCACATTGAAGAATTGTGATTTTTTCTATGGGATATGATTTTTTCAAAGAGTTGCATCTTTTTCGATGGATTGTGACTTTTTCATATCGGCCAATCAAGAAAGCTTAAAAAAATTTCATAACAAAAAATACAAAAGTAATTCAATAAAAATTCATAAAAGATAAAATTTACAGATCATTGAATAAAACATTGATGTTAGTTATCGGACAAAGTAATGACAGAAGGAAAAAGCCCAAAAAAGAAGTAGGTATGAACCAAAAAATTGTCCTGGTTGTGATTAGTTGTTCAAGAATTGAGCAGTTGAAATAATTTTCTTTTGACATGTTCAATGGAGAAAAAAACTATAAAGAACTTCTTCTTCTTCTTCTTCTTCTCAATTTAGTACATATTTTATATTTATTTATATTATAATATAAAATATATTAAAAGAAGACACTTTTCACATTGAAGGATTGTGACTATTCCAAGGGGTTATGACTTTTGTCACGCCCCGAGCCTACACCCTGGACGTGGCCAACACTCGAGAATCATTGTTGGTCCGCAAGCAAACCCTCATCCTGGCTGACTACAAGCGGAAGACTAACTTGAGCATACATAAGCATCAAATTGAAAGAAACGTTTTAAAAACAATTTTATTGAATCTCAAAACTTTGCTGAATATACTGAGTATGAAACATAAGTTTTAAATAAAATATTTGAAACTGAAAGACTCTCCAAAAATATCTATCTTCTTCTATACATAGATGAGTGTCGGGACAAGACCCACGACTCCTCAAAAGTACTACTAACAACTCATATAAATGGAGTACTCCGAAAGCAAAGAGGTCTCACTCATAAGCAGATGAGTGGATGAAGTAATCTCAACAGTCTCTTGATATCACGACCCAGGGGTGCCCCCTAGACGTAACATGGCGTACTTGACCCCGAAGGGGTCACATACAAGCCCTTAGCATAATGATACACATAAAGCCATAAGAATGATGCGGAAAATTTAAAACTTTTACAATCGAAGTCAACTTCTTTTTCATAAATGAAAATAAGAGTCTAGACCTTGTCTCAATCACCATCTAGTACAATAGAGAGTACAAATAGGGTCAAAGACCTTTACATCAATAAAGTCTCAAAAATAGAAAGTACAATAGAAACTAGAAATGAATTATGTCTTGTCCTCGAACCATGAGGACTTGCTTAGGGAATATTCAACCGAAGCTTCTCTTGAAAGAAGAAGTACGTCTCAACTATCGGAACCTACACTCATAGTAAATGTAGAAGAAATGGGTTAGCACATAAAGTACTAAGTATGGAAGCATGCATAAAAATCCTTGAAATACGATAAAAAGGACATTTTTGTTAAAAAAGTATGCATTTGTCAAGTTTGGAAATCAACATGCACTTTCAAGGTAAAACACAAGCCATAATCACACATAGTAAAATCATTACCTTAGCAACCCCTAAG